TTGGCGGGTTTTTATTTCGTGTTAGAAACCCATGCTCGATGTTTGCTATCGATGTTCGATGCTCGATGTCTTCTTGGTTATTCTGTATCGCTCGGCTCTTTATCGCTGTATAAGCCAATTGTAAACATAAGTTGATGCCTTGGTTTCTAATTATTGGTTAAAAAGCATGAAATACCTATTCTGAATGTGAAGAGTTTGAAATACAATTCTTGAAATTGTTCCTGTGATTCACGGTCTAATATCCCAACTGCACTTATCAATCAGTTCACTACCTCGAAGGAGGTCTGTCTTCATGTTCTTTATTGTTCTTTAGTTTTTTGTTTATTTTATATGCTAAAAATCTATTTCATTCAGTGGTGGTAAAAACGTGGTTTTAAAGATCGCTTTCAGAGCTTAATGTCGCAAGAATTATGTCTTAGATCTTTTTTCCTTCTTTAACTGAAGTATAAAACATGTTTGTGAGTGTCAGTGTCTTTACTGGGTCTTGTATGGTTTAAGCATTTGTTGTCGATGGTCTGTTATCGTGCGCAATATTTATTTGGATAAAACCCTGCTTAAGAAGACTTCTTTGTTTCTATGAAAGTATTGCACTCGAACTTGAATCTTGAGTTAAACCTCTGTCATCATGAATAAATGACCAAGGTTGAATCCCAACAAAGTGACACTTCTTTTGCTTGGTATTTGTAATTTTAGAAATCATACATGAGACTTTGCTTCAACCTAGAGATCTTGTTGTTAGGATTTTCATAAGATGGTTTACTGTCTAAGTCCATTAAGTCCATCATAAGGCACTTGCTTGTGTTAAAGCATTTCAGGCTATGTTACTCAAAAGGACACTCTTTTTTCCCTATTAACTGTTGAAGAAACCTTGAGTTTTAGTGCAAAGCTAAGGCTAAGACTTCCTGGATCAGAATTGAAGTCAAGGTTCAAGTATTTGATTAATGGAAATCATTGATAGTACTTGATACTCACATCCATTCTTCTGTGATGAGATAGTAGCGTTCACTAAATGAAAAATCCTATCAGTTAGCTTTTGCTTATTTTCTTTCTCATTTTGACATTTATATCAGTTTGGTACTCATATTAATTTATTTTATTATTTTTTAGATTCTAATAAACATGAGTCAAGAAAGACCATCAAAATCCAAAAAAAAGACAGGCGCAACATACATAAAAGTTGGAACTATGGCATCTTTGGCAAACCAAATAAGGAGTTCGTTTGGCCAAAAAATATACTATTCCTGCTAGACAATGAAATAAAGAGCGCCCGAATATGATTGAAGAGAATCTGCTACTGCCGCAATATCCAGGAGTAATAACACAGGTACAATCTATATCAAGTACTCATGCAACACAAGTAGTAGAGGAACAAGTTCAAGTGGATTCTACAACTCCTATTGCAGATGAAAAATGTGAAGAACCCAGGTAACAACTATATATTTTATCTAAAAAAGTTTACATCCTATTTCAGTTATAAATAATGTATCAACAATAGTAATTTGGTAATTTTCTTTGGCTCGTATAACTGTAGGACCTTCTGTTCAAACAAGAAAAAGAGGTAACTCCTTACATATTGGAACTCTGAAAAATTCCAGATATGTATATTTCTTTCTTCTTTCTTCTTCTTCTTCTTCTTGGCCATTGCTATTTTTTTCTTCTTTTGATCTGCGTTACTGTCACACCTCCTTTTATCCCGAGGGGATGTGAGTTTTCCAATTAAAGTGACATTAATCGAAATGGGATTATTTATTTTATTCAGAGTCGCCACTTGGGATAGTCTATTTGGTGTCCCAAGTTACCAGTTTATTTTTTAAATCCCAAATCGAGGAAATTCAACTTTTATTTTTAAAGTCTGCGAACCAGAAATTCTAGATAAGAAATTCTATTAACCCGGGAGAAGGTGTTAAGCATTCCCGGATTCCGTGGTTCTAGCACGGTCGCTTAATGATTATTACTTGGCTTAAAAATGTCGGATTACTTATTTTAGGACCTATGTGCATTTATCTATTAACCGCTTTTAATCACTTGAATTATTCGTAAGTAAAGAAACGAGTTACGCGTACGTATACTCATTTCCTTTGGCGCGTCAAAAATCATGTCACGCGAACGTGTCCACAATTAATAACGCTTTGTTTATTTTATTAAGAAAAGTTTGGTTGAAGTTGCGCGAACGCATCCCTCGAGTCTTTTTAAAGTTAAATTTACAATTATATTACGCGAACGTATACATAATCGCAACACTAATCTAAATCGGGCCTAAAGCAAACTATGATATTAAAGAGTTATTTTTCTTAACTATTTCGGATTTGATAGTGACGAAGTGCAACATTCAACTATTATCGTCTATTATCTTAAACAAAACATCATTCATGAAATGGCCAAATGAATAATTATTCAAATAGAAGATATGTAATACGAAGCATCTAAGTATCTTTTCAATGCTAAAAGAAAAGCATCCATAAGTCACCTCTTCTGAAACTAAAAATCTAAAACAAAATCCATTAAAAAAGTATTATGAATCCCAATTCTCATATAAAAAATGCTGTAAGAGATTTAATAAAAATAGTTTGACTACTCGAAATAGTTTCACATTCTGAATGCCAATGAAGCTGTTCCAAACCAATCCGCCGGACAACTCGGCGAGAAAAAATGTAGCTAAGCATGGAATTATCGGATAACTAACGAAGCCCTTAATTCTAAAGTAGAAACTAAGTATTTCATATGAAAATTATATTTAAATTACTTGCTGGTTTTAATCACATTGAAAATTAATAAAGATCAACTCTATTACATACTGATGGCAGGAATCAAAAACTGGAAAATTCACATAAAGGAAACCAAATGTCGAAAGTACTAAATATTCAAATAAAGGCATGATACAAAGGCAAAGAATTGGGTGTGGTCAAAAATTTGGTGTTCACAGCATGCCCCTCTTTGCTTGGAAACATGAAGAGTTTTCAGGCAAAGAAAAATGAACACGGTGACTGATTTTTGACCTCCCCATTATTTAAAAAGAAAAAGAAAATAAAAGAAAAATATGTGACCGACCCTTGGTTTTAGGCAGCCTACATATCCCGGGTTGTAAGGGAATCAGGTCACGTGTAGTTCAAGTGAAAGAAGAGTGATGGAGTATTCTTTGATGGAGAGTCGAGCGAAGTTCCGTCGAGGTTCCGATCCGCGGTTCCTACTATTACATCAAAATGAAAAGAAAATTACATACTCTTGAAATCTAAGAGTTACAAAATTCCTATCTAAATGCTATCTCGAGTCTTGTCTTGATTCTTGACTTGCTTCTCCCATTAACTTTAGACTAAAACTTGATGCTTTCGATGCAACAGACTATGAAATATTCTCGCAGGCTTGTTTCTTGATCAGATGATGGGAAGAAAGATCTTGACCATATGTCTCTGCATGCATTACGCCAAAGCTGGTTGCAGCTAGTATTGAGATAAAACGTTCCACTTTCTCTGGAAAGAACTGAAATCTAATTTTTGCACATCAAATCCGTGCTTTGCAGAAAAACCTACAAGCCAACACAAACAAACAAAACGAACAAAAATTTTCTGCCCCAGTTTGCACTAGGAAATTTTTGTGAGTTATTGAAAACACATGAAACTATCTTTGCTATTGCAGAATAAAGAATTAAAAAAATACGTTTTTAAATAATTGGGGATGGTGTACCCTATGTTAACAAGAAGGAAGGCATCCAGGGGATGTGGTACCCTGTGTTGGCAATAAGATAAGACTCGTGGCACTCTGAGATTCTACTAGGGGATGTTGTACCCTATGTAGGAAGAAAGTAATGCAACCAGGGGATGTAGTACCCTGTGTTGGCAACAAAATGAGGCTTGCGGCACTCTGAAATGCAACTAGGGGATGTCGTACCCTATGTTCGCAGAAAATAATGCAACCAGGGGATGTAGTACCCTGTGTTGGCAAGAAAATAAGGCTCGTGGCACTCTTGAAATGCAACTAGGGGATGTCGTACCCTATGTTGGCAGAAAATAATGCAACCAGGGGATGTAGTACCCTGTGTTGGCAATCGTGGCACTCTGAAATGCTACTAGGGAATGTCATACCCTATGTAGAAAATAATGCAGCCAGGGGATGTAGTACCCTGTGCTGGAAATAAGATGCAACCAGGGGATGTAGTACCCTGTGTTGGCAATAAAATGAGGCTCGTGGCACTCTGAAATGCTACTAGGGGATGTCGTACCCTATGTAGAAAAATAAAAATGCAACCAGGGGATGTAGTACCCTGTGTTGGCAATAAGTCGAGGCTCGTGGCACTCTAGGATGCTACTAGGGAATGTCGTACCCTATGTAGAAAATAAAAATGCAACCAGGAGATGTAGTACCCTAGGGGTATAAATGAGGCTCGATGGTACCCTGTGTTGGAATAAGATAGCTCGGGACTCATCTACTAGGGGGACCCTTATAAGCAACCAGGGGATGTAGTACCCTGTGTTGGAAATAAGATGAGGTCGGCACTCTGAAATGCTACTAGGGAATGTCGTACCCTATGTAGAAAATAATACAACCAGGGGATGTAGTACCCTGTGTTGGAAATAAGATGAGGCTCGTGGCACTCTGAAATGCTACTAGGGGATGTCGTACCCTATGTAAAAATAATGCAACCAGGGGATGTAGTACCCTGTGTTGGCAATAAGATGAGGCTGGGGGGTCGTACCCTGAGAAAATAATGCAACCAGGGGATGTAGTACCCTGTGTTGGAAATAAGATGAGGCTCGTGGCACTCTGAAATGCTACTAGGGGATGTCGTACCCTATGTAGAAAATAAAAATGCAACCAGGGGATGTAGTACCCTGTGTTGGCAATAAGATGAGGCTCGTGGCACTCTGAAATGCAACTAGGGGATGTCGTACCCTATGTTTGCAACAAGAAGTAAGGCAACCAGGGGATGTAGTACCCTGTGTTGGAAATAAGATGAGGCTCTGGCTCTCTGAAATGTAACTAGGGGATGTCGTACCCTATGTTTGCAACAAGAAGTAAGGCAACCAGGGGATGTAGTACCCTGTGTTGGAAATAAGATGAGGCTCGTGGCACTCTAAAATGTAACTAGGGGATGTCGTACCCTATGTTTGCAACAAGAAGTAAGGCAACCAGGGGATGTAGTACCCTGTGTTGGAAATAAGATGAGGCTCGTGGCACTCTGAAATGCTACTAGGGGATGTCGTACCCTATGTTGCAACAAAAATGCAACCAGGGGATGTAGTACCCTGTGTTGGAAATAAGATGAGGCTCGTGGCACTCTGAAATGCTACTAGGGGATGTCGTACCCTATGTAGAAAATAAAAATGCAACCAGGGGATGTAGTACCCTGTGTTGGCAATAAGATGAGGCTCGTGGCACTCTGAAATGCTACTAGGGGATGTCGTACCCTATGTAGAAAATAAAAATGCAACCAGGGGATGTAGTACCCTGTGTTGGCAATAAAATGAGGCTCGTGGCTCTCTGAAATGCTACTAGGGGATGTCGTACCCTATGTAGAAAATAATGCAACCAGGGGATGTAGTACCCTGTGTTGGAAACAAGATGAGGCTCGTGGCACTCTAAAATGCAACTAGGGGATGTCGTACCCTATGTTTGCAACAAGAAGTAAGGCAACCAGGGGATGTAGTACCCTGTGTTGGAAATAAGATGAGGCTCATGGCACTCTAAAATGCTACTAGGGGATGTCGTACCCTATGTAGAAAAATAAAAATGCAACCAGGGGATGTGGTACCCTGTATTGAAGATAGGGTGTTGATTCCCTATAATGAAACTAAAAATAACATGCTTATATGCATATTGGAAGGAAATCATGGATTTGAGAACTTCACTTGGTGGTGTTGGTCTTTCCACGAACTATTTCTGTTATTGTTCTGAACAAAGAAAGATTCATTAGTTTTAAAATGGTGGTCGGTTTGTGGCCTTGATTATTTCAGTTCCTTGACTCAGCTCATCTTCTTAAATGACTTCAACTGCGACTAGTTATTTCCTGAATACCAACTGCATTTCTGATTCTGGAGAACCTTTAGCTTTTCCAAACTTTGCCATGACGGTATTTAACCTTTTTCAACTTTATTTTGCCTTTGTGGGCATTTCACTTTTGACTTCTTTCAAAGTTTTTCATTTCAAAGCATCGGCCAATCATGGACAGTCGGGGTCGACTTGATGCATTTGTCGAGGCTGGGCGCCTTTTGAATATATCAGCTCGCTTCAACGAGAACCTTGTAAATCGGTCTTGCCATCTTTTCTTTGCCTTATTTTTTGGAACAAAGTTAGACCGAAAGGGATTCAAAGAAAAAAAAACAAACAATACAATAGAGAATGAGTTTAGAACAAGAGGTGTCCCTTTCAGGGACCAGAAATACGGACTTATATGGGAGTACATGCAGACTTCAATAAACATGACATGCCTTTTGGACTGGATGCCTGATCTGTATAAACCGTCCAATTCTCAAAAACTCATCACAAATTTTGACTTGAAACCGCGAAACCTTGCTCATGATTGTGTTAATGACATGGTTATGTGAATCTTCTTTTCGATCAACAGTGCCCTTTGTGGGTTTTCACTAGCTGATCTCTCTCATTTCTCTTCTCGCCATCGTCTTATAG